AAATTAAAACATACATATCTATTCAAAGTCCGTATTGGCAACTATCCGGCAATACCCCTTGTTCTTTTTCAAACAAAAACAAGCAGGATTGCGTACAAAAAGCGAGTTGATCTCTCGAACGAGCTCTCAATTGCTTAAGATAACCATACTTATAAACACACAATCAATTCGTGCATATGTAAATAGCGCATTGATCTCCTCAGCGAGCTCTCAATTGCACAAAACTACCTTCACAAGCACATATAATAAATACATACAAGTCCAAGTATTAGGGTTTACCTAAATACTAACACAAGGACGGAAAAACTGTTATTAAATTAAAAGTGCTAATTTGATAAAAATAAATCGTCTAAATAATAAATAAATAAAATCAAGGATATTTTCAAACTTAAAGCTAAAATATAAAATCTATAAATAAATATTATTATTTGCTAATAATAATAACACGATACAACATATTCGTTTTTACCAACCTAAATCAAAATTCAAAACTCTATTTACCTAAATGAGTATTCGGTTTTAAGCAATACTGCTTATTCAAGTCAGTCACACTGAGAAAAAAAAATTAATTATTTACACAGATATTAAAAAAACAAAAAAGGAATAATGGTTAATAACGAAATCAAAATACAGCAGCTACACGCTCAAAACAGGCTATTAAATTTATTTCAGAAAGTGACAGTTTAACAAGATACTGCACCAGATTTGAAAAAACAAGAAAGAAAGAAAACTCTGAATCGTTACTAGAAATCAAAATAAAAAATCTCAATAATTTTTGGATACGACTCTAAGCGGCTCATGTCGCCATAGTAGAATCTAACGATTCAGGTCTACCTCAAAATTTGAAATCATCGGCTTACGATATTTACGAAAACTGCTTGGACCAATACGAAGAAACGAAAGCTATGATCTCCGATCAATTAAAGCTAATTAAAGCAATTGCACCTACTCCATACCCGAGAGTAGAGCTGCCACAAATGCAACAATATCAAGAGGCAAGTTCAGGCATCCAACTCGAGTTGCCCGCTTGTGATACAGAAACCTGTTACGGAGGTAATGAAGAATGGTCGTCCTTCCGGGACATGTTCACGGCCGTGTACATAAACCATCCTCAATTATCACAAGCGCAAAAAATGTGTCACCTCAGATACAAAACTAAAGGTCAAGCAGGCGAAATAGTCAAACAGTTCGCATTAAATGACGTTAATTTCAATTTGACTTGGGAAGCTCTGAAAGCAAGATATGAAAACAAAAGAATACTAATCGACAAATAAGTAACGACACTAATGAACTTGCCAAAAATTAAAAAAGAATCAAGTGTAGAATTCATCAAACTAGAATCCACTGTTTCTAATTGTTTGTCGATTCTGTCGACACAGAATATTCCCAAAGATAACTGGGACCCAATTCTGGTAAACATTTGCACCGCCACATTACCGGAAAAGTCGTTACTTCTATGGGAGCAATCGCTCTCGTCACGAAAAAAGTGCCCAACGTGGCAACAAATGAAGGATTTTCTCACCACCCAATATGAAATTGCGGAAAGGTTAGAAGAAAGAATAATCAAAACTAAGAACACTAAACACGATCAAAAAGTGAGCTTAAATAGACCCCAAGCTAGAAGCAACAAAAATTTAATCAAAAGCTTTCACAAAACGCAATCGTTCACGTCTGAACAACGAAAACATACGTCGTGCGAAATATGCACAAGACGGCATAAACTTAAATCTTGCGAGATGTTTAAAAACTTAAAAGTTAACGAACGAAATAATTTTGTCAGGTCAAAAAGACTTTGCACAAATTGTCTGTCACATGCGCACACATATAAAAACTGCAAAAGCAAATTTAATTGCTTACATTGTCACAAAAGACACCATTCAATGCTTCATTATAACACATGTCCTATTTCACCCCAAAGAAGCGCTTATACAAAAAGAACCACGGGTTTAATTGCAAAAGCAAATCCCGAAATCCAAAACTTTAAAAATTGCCAAGAGACAACATGTTGCTCAAAGGCAGAAAAAGCTCAAACGCTGCACAGTGAAACACATAGTGGACTAATTACAGAACCAATTACCACCATGACAACTCAAGTTGAGAAAAAACCAAATCAAAACCTTAATTCACAATTAAGGAAATTTCAAGCATAGTGAAACTTCCCCCAATATTAAACAAAAAAGATCAGTATTGTAAGGGCTTCGCTAAAGCCACAACTACTCGATCCAATAATGGCCGGTACGTCGTACGTCTACCACTCAAGCCACCATTTTCCAATACTCCACAAATTGGTATAACACACAAAATCAGAGCTTCCTAGGACAGTCCCTACACATACAACTTTTCGGCCCCGCAGGATGGCTTTCGCCAAAAATGATACAAAATCCTGATTAAAAAATCTGAAGTTATGTTGAGCGCTACTAAACGCCAAATAAGTGCATATGCACTTAAACATAAAATATAACAAAATTATCTCCAAAAGTCGAAAAATCTACACATTTTATACAATATTGCCCCACAGAGGCATACATTTTCAAATATAAAAAAATAAAAAAGGAAATTAAGGGATCACAACACTCCCAATGCGATACATTAACGCAGCTACGCTTACAAAGATAAGGTCGCTTTTATCGCATCTATCCAAGCGCTCCTCATATGGGTAGGTTATGGGAATCAGCTGTACAAAGCTTCAAATTGATTATAAAGAATTCTCTATTTCACGAGGCGAGCCGTTCTCAATTCACGGCCATTCTCTCGCAAGATCTCTCTATTGTCACAGTCCTAACTCCAGGGTTAAGAGGTACCCATTCTGGCTATATCTGGCCAGGCGTGGAGTTACTATCCTTCATAAGCCAAGAATAAATAAAGTCCAAACATTGCCGATAATACAGAAAAGGCATATAATAAACTACCGGTATGTCAAACCGATAAATAATAGATTGTAAATAACAGCCAATAAAATTAGTAAAAGCAAACTACTTTTTTGGTATAATAATACAATTAGTCATCAAAGCACGCAAAATCAATTATTACTTCAAGCACTAATATTTACACAAAATACAATTGGCAAGACCATAATCGCTTTTTACAGCTAATGTTCTGCGGCCTCGTTTACTCCACCAACAGTAAGCCGAATTGCACTAGGGGCCGCTAGACAGAGAAGGTACAATGTAGAGGAGGTTCACTGTGTGAACTGTCAAGAGCTAACAAAATCCTATTAGTGGATTTCACCACTATTGAAATTTTAACAGAGATGAGCATTGAATAGCAATCTATGTACATTGCTACTACAGACGTATGTTACTCTTTTGTTTATATTTTTATACGTTTACATATGAATACCATTTTGCGAATTTTTGTGAACTCATGCAAAATTGACAACATTATTATTGAATTACGCTCTTTTCATGGTTATATTTGTGAATGTCCAAATAAAAGCTACTTTTTAAATATTTCTTATCTTTGGTAATATTGTACAATTTCGTACGCAGGTATATATATGTAAATATATGCTATATATATGAAATATTATCGTAATATCCTATAAACATAATATATTAGAATAATAATATATGTAAATCACGCCTCTTATCATTTAAAACTTTCATACGCATCTATCCTGCAGATATGGATGCAAGTACAAATAAATTTCAAATCAAGATATTATCAATTATCAGAAATATCCCTGCAGAAAATTCGACTAGTTCAGAACTAGCAYAGAACTAGACCTTTTGATGACAGTACTAGTTCTACCTCAATACCCAAGCAATGCTTTCAACTGTCCACTTTTACACGGTGTTGTCATTGACGGTGGCAATTGTCGCCCAGTGCATTACTTTGCCACTCGCATTTAACTGGTTCCGTCGTAGACAGTCCTAAGGTAGCTCCGYCATGCTTAGTTCTACTCCAANTAACAGCTGCGCCTACAAACTAGCGTAAATATGTATGTATGTTTATGAATGAGCTTGCATACACATCGACGCTGATGTTTGCGAGTCATGACAAGATTTGACAAACATTTTAAATCGACGCGTTGCCTGTTTTGTCACCCTTTTCTGTGTTTTGTGAGTTTGCGGGATTGTCAGTTTTCCTTCTAGAGAAACATCAGAAAGTTGTTCAATTTATGATTTTTAGCTTTTGCCATGGTCGCGAAAAGACGCTTGTAGGCACAGGTATGATCGAGTAGATGTGAATGAAGCGAAGCTTGTTGAATGTGCGCTTGCGTTTATGAATGAAAATGTTTTTGATGTAAGATTTACTACATTTGGGCATCGCCAATTTGGCTGCCATATTGAATTGTGATGCTTATGCTATTTGAGACGATTGTTGTTTCAATTATTGTTGGTGACATATTCACATGTGTACGCATATATATGTATCTTTGTATACTTGTTCGGCAAAAATATATGTACATAAGTATATATGAATGTGTGAACATGTAATATATTAATGAGTGATARAATCATGATTTGAATTTCTGAACGCGCACATGCATATACTCGTACATACATACATAAATACATTCATATGAGGTTGTGCAGATACATAAGATTAGTATGATAGAAGATGTATTTTTATATTGTTGTGATAAATTTAATTTCTATTAGTAAGAAATATAATACAAAAATATTTATTAGTAGAGTATATTATGTTAAAAACAAATAAAATTATTAAATATGCAAGTCCAAATTGGTTATATGTATTACTATGCATGCATTCATATCTTATTCTCAAATCATAATTATTTTTACATGTCAATATGGAATTGCTTACAGCGAAGCGCATACATTCACCTTTATTCTGTGCACTTGACAAATTAATAAATATTGAACATTAATTCAAATATTTATCAAGTAAGAAATATTTTGGTATTCTGTGGCAATCTTGATAAAACTAAAAGCTTCAGTTCACAAAGCATTACCCCACGTATGGCGAACAAAGTAATATAAATAGAAATAGCTGGTTTCTATTCAAATTATATTTCTCCGTAAAAATAGATTCTTCAACAACGAAAGTTTATAATATAACTGATAGTAAACCAAAGGAAGATCGAGATACTCACGAGTAGCTGGACGCTGATACTTCATTTTGCCAAGCACACCCAGAATGGGTAATGGGTACCAAAAACGCCTCAAAAAATGAAGAAATTATGGCAACAGCTGAGTCAAAGGCTCACTGGTGGAGCGCCAAGTTCCAAGCCGATGACCGAATATGAAGAAAAGGCGTTATTCACATTTGGTTCGGCTGCTGTGGACGGTGTAAAAGATGTGCAAAGCCTTGGTTTAACGCCAATAGAGCCTTTGACCGTTGAAATCGCATGGTCAACAATTGCATCATTCTGCAATTATGCAGTCCCGTACCAACAACCCCAAATCTCAAACAAACAGCAAGTTCATCGACTCATCTACACACCCATTGCTTTGCTTGAGAAACCAGGTGAGTTTTCATTATGATGAAATTACAAAATATATAATTTTTTTTTTTGCAACTTTTTATCACGTTTTTCCTTTTAAGGATGCTTCAACATCGCTGTTATCACGAAGTTCACGTAATAAACTTAGCACTTTGATAACTGATATATCCAAACAGAATGCTTTTGAAGAGGAACATCTTGAATTGATGCAGGCCATCCAAGGCCTAACTAACTCCATAACGGAATTTCTAAAAACAAATAATTATAATTCCTAAAGTTGGTTTAAAATAATAATAAGGGGTGTTGTGGAATCTGATAGTTGTCGGAATAAGAATTGAAACCGATCAAAAAAGCAGTAGATGTCATAAATTCAGATATTATTGGTTGGATATTGGAAACAGAATTTGTTTCGGTTTTGGTTGTCACGGAAACCAATTTTATCGGTTTTGCTGTCAGAAATAAATCAAGAAGATAGTCGCACACAGATTTGAAATGTAAATTAAGAAATCAATTTATTTTATTGTTAAGAATTAATTTACCTCTATTTCTATAGGAGAAAACATAAGAATAAAACAAGAAATGTCTTAATTATTGAGTTTTGGAAAAACAATGCGGATGTTTAAGGGGGCGAGCCTGCTTTAGAGGCTGAAAAAATCGATTTTTTAAATTTTTTTTTTGGGAGGGAAATAAATAATTGATTAAAGCGAAATTTCTAGGGGTTATAGTTATATATATATAAACATCATCCGCAAATTTCTTTGATATGGAATCTTTTACATTTTGCCTTTGGGAAGCAACCTCGCATGTGCATATGCCAGATGGCGGGCMGGATGCAGGTCGAGATTTCTATCCGAAACAAAGAATTCAAAGATATTCACATCATTTAATAACTTATGTTCAAATTAAACTGAAAATTTTAAACGAAAAGAAAAGTATACAATTTTTTAAAATTTGAAAAAAAAATTTACTTTAAATATATGTTCAAACTTAACCTTTCTTAGTTTTTTTAGTTTCAAAAGAAGATAATTTAATGCCAAAGATAATAAACTTTGTCACAATTCCATATGACGTTCAGTTTTTTTCTTTTACCCTGCCCGCCAATTAAGAAAAATAGTAACAGCAAAATGCTTCTTTATTCATTCAATAAATGTTACCCTTAAAACCTTTCTTTAATTCGAAACTCATTAAAAAC